GTATAAATATTTCTAAATATACACAAAAAGTTAACAAGAACAGCTGCTCTAGGAAGAAAAATGTTGGCCAGGAATGAGACTTTCATCCTTTTATATTTTTTTTATCATGAAACATGTGAATGTTTGGGACTAATATTATAAAAATATTTACATTATAAATATTTTTAAAATTAAGATCATTGGAACTCTCCCAGTTTAATAATGCTATATAAATAAAAATCAGGTTTAAAACATTATATACACAGTATGAACCTGACTTTTTATAAACTTATATACAAGTAAAGAAATTGAAGAAAATACTTCTTCTAATGTTTGAACCTTTCTGTATTTCCCAAACATTCTACTGAAAGCATAATTTTCCTTTACAGTCAGGTAAGCACTACACAGCTTATTTTCAACAACATATGTATATCTTATTTGTATGTTCAATTCAAACTGGTTGTTGAAAAAAACACACACGGTTTTAAACAAAACTTAAAACTAGCTATTCTCTATACTTGAAATAACTTCTGCCCATCAACATCTAACTTTCTGTTTAACTCTTCACCTTTTCCATGAAATATTTTATAATTGCTCAGTTCTACAAAAAACCTCTCTATTTCATGGCCTCTTTTGGTACCTATGCATACAATCTTGCTCCTGACTTGCGCTGTTTATTTTGCATTATTTACTTAAAAGTCTTATATCCCAACTAGAGTGTTAAGTTGGAAACTGTTTCCCCATTCCTTGAATTTGGGCCAGTCTTGTAACTAGCTGTAGCCAACAGCGTAGAGGGTTTGCTTGTTCCAAGTGGAGGCCTCAAGGCACATGTCCTCTTGCTCTCTTGGAATGCTGACAAGACGCCAGGTAAATATGCCTGGTCTAGGCTGCCCCGGATGAGAGATCACACGGAGCAGAGAAGAGGTGGCCTAGCCACAGCATACTAGACCGGGCAGCCCCTAGCTCATCTAGCAAACTGACCTCAAAACCTGAGTGAGCTCAGCTGAACCTAGTGCAAATTGCCAATCTGTAAAAAGTTAAGCTAAATAAATGGATCTTATTTTAAGCTAATACATTTTGGAGTGATGTGGTTTTTTAGCAAAAGCTGCAGAAATCATTGAAACATACCTAATGGCTTCATTCTGCGAATGTCATACTTTCACAGTGTGTCTTATGTTAGAGTCAAGTATTTGCTAACCACCTCTTTGCTCCTGGAGAGCAGAGGCTGCATCCTCTTTGTGTATTTCCACGAACCTAGCTTGTGCTTGTTCATCGTAGACACTCAGAATTTGATGAATTGAAGTAAAAATTAACTAAACTTCAAGCTCTGGTGTTCATCAGCATTATCTATTGAATGTTTAACAACTAGAAAAATACAAACCAAAGCACTATTAAAAAATCAAGTAACTCCTGAGAATTTACAACTGGCCTTGTATTGCAATTCCCCATTATTTTAGTCCAGCAAGTACAAGTACTTGGAGTGTACATGTCACTCCAAGGTAGTTCATAAGTGAACCCTTAGGTTGTCCTTCTCAATATTTAGTATTAACCCAAATTTGGATTGTGATAGAAATATGCACATATGTTTAGTACATGAATGTGAAGTTGTACTACAATACGACTTTTATAAATTTGGAAATATAGAAAGTACAAAGTGAAAAAAAAAGGAGATTTTGATGTTTATTGTCTAATTCACATTATTATTATTAACACCAGGTATTCTAACCCCAGAAATCTGACAAATGAGATATGTATGTAAATTTACTATAACTTTCAAGTGCTATGCATGTACAATATCATGAAAGCTTGTACATTCAAAATATCACATCACTTTTTTCCTTAAGAAGCAGGAAAATCAGAATAGACAGGACAAAAGAGAAAGGATGAGTAGTTTTGCTATCCACATCTAATTTGCTCCCTAATGAAATTCTATAGCTTTTAAATGACACCCTGCTATTACAGCCTATAAAGAGATGATTTCATCACACATGCCATGTTTTGAATATTTTAAAAATTATCATCCAGTTGATAGTATCTGCAACACTCTAAAGCAAAAGAACATGAAAGCATGCTCAGGATGAATGTACTCATAAACCAAGGAGGTAAATACACTCGATGACAGTAAAAGAACATCCTTGCTTCACTGAACTGGGGACAAATCCCCTTCTTGCATGAGTGTGCAACCCACAACTTAACTTTAGCTTCTTCCTTTTGACATCAGTCATTCCTGTTTATTGTTAGCTTTAACTTATAAAGGACATAAAATTTAGTTAATGAAGTGGATAACTAAATCAGAACATAAAAGATTTAGATAGCCTAAATAAATAAAATTGATAAAAATCTGTGTTGTTAGTGTGTTTAAAAGAAAAACATAGTCCAAAGAGAGTAAAGTCCCCAATTCTGGTCCATAAAATCAGCCACATAGGACTAGATGAGGAATAGGTGACAATGCTACATTTGAAAGACTCAATTATTATAAGATAGGAAGTTCTACAAATCAGGATTAAAAACCCATCCCCCAAATTGGGGTGTATTAATAAAAATATAGAGTCCAAGTTAACTGAGACAGTTTTTAGCCAACTTAAGAAATATCTTTCTCACAGTCAGATGGTCCTAAGGTGGACCTTGCCGCTTTGAACCAGTGAGTTGTCTTCAAGGAACAAATTCAAGCACAGTCTGGGGTGCTATACAGGAATTCAAGGATCAGGCCAAAGGTTATACTGTGGGATTTTTAAGACTAGCCTCAAGCCTCTGAATTCTTTAACTCTATTTTAGGATTCCGAAGAGCACATGCAAAGGACACATATTCAAGAATGCTTAATCATGCCTCATTTGAAGTCTAGGTACTTCCTTTGGAAACATACTCCCAGGCTTTCTATTTATAGTTTGAACATCTCTATAGTTCAAAAAAAAAAAAAGAAGTCTCCTTTTAAAAAGATGCTCACTTGCAATAAATTATGAGAATGGCTAAGATAACTGCAAGGAGATCAACATTTTTGGGATAGGAAGTGGAAGGATAATTTTTCTCACAGTAATTCAACCTCCCCGAGACCTCCTAATAATGAGCTACAGCTTGAGAGCTGGTAAAGTTTTTCAAATGATCTGTTAAAAAATTTAAGCTGCTTTAATAGAGACTGATGTTAATAGAAATTAGGTGACAGATTCAATAAGAAGAGACATACTCTTTCATTATTAGCAAAATTTTGCAGTTTTGGGTTCTACTGTTAAAACATCATACAAGGACCTGGAGAACACGATGTGACAGAGCACAGGAACTTAAGCATAAACAACGGGGCTCACTGAGAGCACACGAGCGCTGGAGCATGCATCCCCGGCTCAGATTCACCTTATTTTGGCTGTGCTTTCTAACTTATTCCCTTAGTTAACATTTTCTGCGAACACTGGTTGCTTTCCATAGGGACCCAAACCACAAACTGGAGAGAATGACCACACTGCCTTCTCATGAATAGTGAGAAGGGGAAATTTTTTTTCCTCAAATGTGTTTCTCCAATGAAATTCAGTTTCTGCTTTCCAAGAAAGCCAATTGGCTCAGAAGTTTCTGAGAACATAAAGGGGGAAAAGTCCAACAGATCCACTCCACAAAACCCTAAAGCAAAGTCCCAAACTTTCAGTCTTACATCAGCCAAGGGGTTAAAACCTGAATGTCTCAGTTGAGCGGCTGAATCCACAGGTGGAAACCCTTAAGTGTAGAGAGCTACTGAGCTCCATTCACGACCATGCTGAGAAAGCCTTTATGTGTAAGAAAACCCCCACCTTGGCCCCCAAATATTAAGTTGACACACGTTTCTGGGACGCGGCGTGAATCCTCAAACTTTGGCGGATCTATAGAGACACAATATTCTGTTTTCTGCTTAACAGGGCTTTCCAGAATTGTCATCAGATGACAGATTACACCACCCATCACACGGATTCAGGGGTAGCTCAAGCCATCCATTATGGGTTAAAAGCTGTTCCAGCATGAATCGAGTCACAGTGGTAAGGAGACTACTGATACAACTTTAAGAAATACCCTGGGCATCTAAAAGTTTTCAGAATGCAAACTATGTCAGCTCTGAAAACAAGAGGCACTGAATCATTATGGCAGGAGAAACAAAGCCAGCCCCCTTTTTTAAAACAGACCAAAAAAAAGATTGTTTTAATAGGAGAGAAGCATCAGTCATTGATTCTTGCTTCATTCACACTTTCTATCCAACCCCATCCATCTTCAGAGTGAAGAGATGACAGAGCCCAGTTAACTCTCTCCCTCCTCAGGCCCCCACCCATCCTGTTCCTCTGTACCCAAACCACCAAGGCCCACCCACCACTCCAACCCGCGGGCAACAGCCCTACGGAACAACTCATTCTATCTGATGGGCTTGCAAAGCTCAGGTATGGCTCGGGATGGGCTTTCATCACATTACTTAAACAGGGTTGTCTGTCAGGTTAGCATGGGTGGTCAGGGCCTTTGCTAATCATCTTCTAAAATGACCACTTAGTCACTCATGGCTGACCACATTCCACGAAGAAGGAGACGGGAAGACTTCAGGCAACAGAAACAAGTCAACACGGCAAACCAACAATCCAGAATGTAAAACATTTCATTTTCCTTAAATGCTGCTGCCCTCATTATTTGCAAACAAAAGTTCTCTAGGCAGGCAGTCTCTGCATCAGTGCACCTGCTTAGCATTGGTTTGCCGAGTTATCTTTTTGCTGTGTCTGCAGAAGCCAACTATAGCACAATGGGTCACATCACTTGAGGGTCACTTGAGTCCCTCTACTCTTTGGGTCCCTCCTCCCACCTCCTGCCTTCCCTTCTACCCACAAAACCTTTAACTCCACCATAGCTAAGGATCCCAGATAGCTAAATAAAAGAGGTGGCCTCAAACACAGAGAAAAACCCTTAGGTCTCCAGTGTGAATCGCCAACGCCAATCCCCCTTCCCTCCCCTTTTCCTTAAGACCTGATGGTCTTCAGTCACACATCTTAAAAGAAAAACAAAAAACAAAAACACAAAGACTTACTTGTCTCAAGTCGATGAAGGCCAACTGCAGCGTGTCCTCCTGGAACCCAGGCACCGGGCCGGATCTGGCAAACTCTGTGGGAAAGAAAAGAGGATAAAAAGCGCCTTTAACTAACCATGGACAGGGAGATTGGCAGACGGATGACAGGGAAGACAAGAGAGGCTGGGGGAGAGGAGGACCAAGCTTCTAAGGAGTCATGTCTCTCTCCCTTCAGCTTCTTTGTTTGCCCTTCAAAATTTGTGTCATCAAAACACCATTAATTCCAGCATCCTGACAGCAAGGAAACTGTACTAATTCGACCTGAAATTTATTCCCATGAGCCGCGCTGGGCTTCAGAGTATTTGTTTTGTGAATGGACAAACAACTTGCAAAGGAGGAGGGAGTGGGGGAGAGAAAAAAGTTTTTCCTCTCAACACAATAAAATCTTCAGCTGTGAAACTCTTTTCAGTTCCGAAAGCTATTTATATTTTAGATCGCTGAAGGAATTTTCCAATTTCACGCCTGTCACCTCATTCCCCAAGCATTTATCAAAAAATATTCCCTGCCACATCATTAATTATTCCCTCACTGATTATTTGTATTATCTCATGAGTGTGTTATTGCTCACACACACACACACACACACACACACACACACACACACACTTGCACACACCAGCAACAGAGGCTCCTGATACAAGGTTTGGCTCTTGAGCAAAGGAACATTTGCACATATGAAAAGGCCCATCTAAATAAATCCTTTTTCAAAAACTTAGGGAACATTTGCACATGTCCGTCTTTCTAGCATATTTTTTCTTCTTGACTTCTATTCCACTTTCAAAACTTCTTTTTCTCTTCCCTCTTCTCCAATTTAGTCCTAGGTCAAAGACACCAGACCCCGTGAATGCTATTCACAATGTATGGCAGTGCCTTGGGGACATGCTCAGTTTACGACTTCGGCTTCTGCATCGTTACAGGAAGATAACTGCACAGGGCTATAGGGACAAATGCTAGTAACAGTTAAGAATGTCAAATTTTATTGTCCCTAAGCCTACTTATTATGAAATCAGTCCAGTGTAAGCCCCATACACAGGCGCACACATGCAAACACACACACAGACAATTCAAAGGTGGACAGTTGCTACGTCTTGAATTCTTTCTGTGAATCCAAAGTGTGATGGACATTTAACATCAATCTACTATTTACCTCAAAAACTCAAGGATCTGCTCAAAGGAAACATGAAAAGGAATGTTTCCCTTTCAATTATATTTTTCCCCAGGAATGAATTTAAGAAATTATGGAGTTGGTCTCATATTTTTCTTTTGAAATTAAATAAAATCCATCAAGATTTTTGAATATTTGTCTGGAAAATTAGTTCAACTAGCTGGATAGATTCAAATGATCTGTGAACAATGATAAAAATTTATGTTCTTTAAAAATATTTTCCATCTAGGGATTTCATAGACATACAGGTTTTCACAAAATCCTTGCCTCACTTTAAAAGTAATGCTAACAAGTTTAGTTGCAGGGATTACAAAAACAGTGTGTACAATAAAATCTAAAACAATTTATTAAGCTGATTAAAATATAGTACAAATGTCATAAAAGAATCTTATTTTAGACATTTCAAATAAAAATGACTCATAAATGGAGACAAACTATATACTGTGATTAGCATAACTAGGTTTATATTTGCTTTGAAAAGAAAATTCCAATGCTATTTTTAAATTAATTCTACTATATAGATAGGCCAAATGATTAAAGTTTTAAAGAAGTAAAATTATAAAACTGTACAAAGAGTTGATAAGGACCCTATTAGTAAAAAGTTTGACATAATCCACCCTTCATATTTTATAATAGCCATTATCTATGATAACCTTGCATACAGCAGCTGCGCAGGTCACATATACAAATTTCCCATTACATGCTCCTATAGAGAGCAGCTCTTTGAATTATAGCCACAGCTACTCTGACAGCCTTGATTGTCAGGTGGTCCACTTAAACAAGCTTCCCACGCAACATGGTTTCATCCACGGTCAGGAAATCACCACTACTCCTCCTGCATGACTCAAGGCTCTACAGCATGATTTGAAGCATTGCAGTCCTCTCTGTCAGCAGGAACCCTACTTGAGTCAAATGCAACAACTAGTAAGGTGTTCTACTGCCTACCATTTGCCACTCCAAAGAATTACCTGTGATACATGCTTTGAGAGCTGGCTTAAACATTCTTGAATCTCCGTATTGGGCATGCTACCTGGGGCTCACAGATGATGCTGATGAAACCACTCAGGATTCTGGATGTAGTACACCCTTAGTTCTCAGAGTCTCACTTTATAGACCTCATTTTTATGACACACTGAATCTTCCAGCTTCCCAGAGGACACAGTGGCCTTTTAGATTTGACTTCCCTTTTATAAATCAGAGAGTCAAAGAGTGACAACTGCATCAAGGTATGACAACATAAAGAGATTGATTTTAATGTACTGCCTATGGAAATATCTAACTATAGTGTATTCAACTTCATATTGTTATTTTTCTCATTGTCTGATACACATAACCACTGTTGTCCCATGAAGACAGTGACCTCCTCAAGGATAAGGGCCATATCATGGAACCTAATGAGTATTCAAAATAGTAAATGTTCAACAAATACTTATATATTAAATAAGCTAGAAAAATAGCAACATTCATTAATCACACAAACACCTCACTGCCAATAAAAATCCTTACATTGAAATAGGTAGGGTGTCCTTAACATGAATATTAATAAGTAGGCTTTAGGAATTTATAATTTCCCTAAAATTAGGTGCACAATGATTTAGGGGCTGGGCTCTGGAGTCATAAAAATCAGAGTTTGAGCCCCGGTGACTAGCTCCTTGGCCATGGGAAAATTAATTTCCTTAAAGCATCAATGTCTTCATCTCAAAAATAAGGCTAACAGTGCATCCCTTATGGTGCTGCTCTGAGGACTGTATGAAATGACACAGGTAATGCAGTTGGCAGTGTGCCTGGCATATCATAACTCATTATCATTACAATCAGTTCTTAGTGTGAATATGCATTTCTCTGGGAAGAAGATTCATAGCTTTCATTGACTTCTCAGAGGGTTGGTAACCAGAGGTTAAAAAACGGTTGTATATCCAAGACAAAACATTAGAAGTTCAGCTACCATTCGGTTCTGAGCTGGCACTGCAAATTTATTATCGGCAAATGCTTAAGTGCTTCACTTGAAAGGAGGTTAATATGCCTAATTACCAGTGTACTCGGCACAGCACAGTAATTTTCATTGGTATTATTTTAAAAATTCAATAGAAGCATAAAGTTGATATGCAATTTGTGACTCAGTGTACTTTTAAAAGCATGTCGTTGTCCTAGAGTCATTTTTTAGATATATCAAAACTATTAATAGCATAAGAAAGTGTGAATATTTTTAAAAAACACAAAAATTTGTATATAGTCTAATTTCAACCACATAAAATATAAAATGCATAGAAAACAGGACAGTAAGCACTCATTTCACAATATTAACTGAGACTGTCACTGAGAGGAAGATTGTAAGAGGGCTTTATTCTTTTTTACATTTTATAAATTTTAAAAATGATTCCAGACCAGTTTTATAATAATAGAAAAGGAAACAGAAGAACACAGGCATGCATATACACACATACCCCAAATAATTTATTGGTGCTGATTTAGTAGTACTTTTTCCAGTGCCTAGAGATATAACTTGTTCAAGATTTATCATTAGAAGCAACAGAGATTGACTTACACACCCGAATTCCCAGATGCTGCCTGATAGAAAGGAGGAAAACTACACATGGGAGGGGACAAGAAGATTGGGAGATCCGCTGTGGTACACTGATGCTTCTAAAAACTGATTATATGTACACACAAGCCTCTCTTTAGAGTCACGAATGAAAATCTTCCTTCTTTTGACACCACAGAATGGGGAATATGTATGCACATGTGGCCAAGTGGGACCAATGGATATGTAGGGCACAGTGCAGGAGCCCCTTTCTGGACTTGTCTCTGGATCCCAAGATCTGTAGTAGGTTTTCAGTCTCTAAATGGCCTAAGCCTACACAGAAGCTTCCATGGCCGGGAATTCTGCAGAATGGCCTGAGTATCACAAGGAAATCAGGGTGCTTGTTAGCACAGAAGCAAACCTTCCCTTTGACCATCTGGTGTTACTTGGGCACTGAGACAAGGTTCCAGTGAGGCCGGCAAGAAAGCTTCATACTGGAAAGCTTGTTGAGGTTAGCAAAGCCCCTGACCAGCAAGGTAACTGACCGGCACTGAACCATACTACAGAGAGCTTGCCTCTCCTCAGCAGCTCTTCCCCGCCCTCGTCCAGTCAAGAGATAGATTCCCAGAGTCAAAGATGGTATCAATTTGCAAATGTGAAAAATATTTTAAAGGGTAAATTGCCAAGTCATTGAAGTTAATGAAGGTTTTCATTTTAAAAAATAAAAAGGAGGTGTAAAAGTTACAGGAAAGAAGGCATATTGTTAATGAAGGTTTAGGTGGGAAAAGAAAATCACACCAAGAAGCATTTTACTTAACCACATATCCAACATTCCCTCACATTCTCACTACTGTTAAACCTATGATGTGTGACAATCATTTCTGAAAACAATACTAATTTCTCAAAAGTATCCTGTAGTTTACATTTCTAATAATCTTCATATTACAATGAAATAAAATTAGCATGAGAGAGAAAACAGAGGAGGGATTCCACTAATTTCAAAATGCTTTCTAGACTTCTTGAAGGCTGATCTTAAAATTACTAACTGTATCACTTAGATGGGGAAGAAAATAAATTTTTTAATTCAAAATTATCAGGCATATTCACATTTGGCCAAAGAAAACAAAATATACATTTTATAAAGAACACAGAACCCTAATTAGAAAAAAATGGTTAAGTCAGTTATAAGGGGCTTTGAGAAGTCAAAATGACTGCCTTAGTCTGTAATCTGTATAAGTAGATAGGACATTATGTAGTTTATCAAAAGCAAGTTGTGAGAAACAAAATATAAAACTAGTTCTTCTGAATCTCTGCAAATTGTCCACAGAACAAGAGTAATTTTCAAAGGA